CAGGAGGTTTTCTGAGCTCATAGCTCTCACTTCTGATGCGGGTCCCTGAGCCCTTCTGTCTGCAGTTCACGCTTAGGTTGGACATTGTCATGGTTGGGCTTTCCAGGAAAGATGGGTTTGCTCAAGGTAATACTTGAAAAACTGAAACTCCATAAATAAAGTCACTGCCAGTGTACAGAGCAAGTCAAATCTCAGCTAACAGGAGTACCTTCCAAACAGAAACCCGTGGGGGTGGTGAGCTTTTCATTCTTGATGGACAAACTCCTTTTAAGGAATTTAAAAGACGATCTAGAAGTCTTTTCTGATTCTTTCCCCCTGACTTCACCAGAATAGAGGAGGGTAAAAATGTGGTCTTTAGGCCAAGTGTGGTGACTCATGCCTGTAACCCCAGCACCTGGGAGGTCAGGGCGGGCAGATCACTTGAGGCCAGGAGCTTGAGACCAGCCTGGCCAACAGGGTGAAACCCTGTCTCTACTAAAAATACAAAAATTAGCCATTCATGGTGATGTGCATCTGTATTCCCAGCTACTCAGGAGACTGAGTCAGGAGAATCACTTGAACCATGCTTTGAGCTGAGGTTACACCACTGCCCTCTAGCCTGGGTGACAGAGCAACACTGTCTTAAAAAAAAAAAATGTGGTCACTACTAGGATCCAGAGAAGCATCTCCCTTCTATCTTCTCCCTCCCCCAATCCCCTTCCTTCTTTCCTTGTCCTCCTTTTCTGAATCTTATTAAATGGTTCATTACAGTTGGTCCTATCGTGTTAGAAGACAGTGACGGCTGGGACCTGCCAAGAACAGAATCCATCTGGGGCCAAATACCCTCTGCCTGGGTTAATCCCTTGGTGGTTGCATATAAAACACGGGGAAGTATGCTGTGAAGATTAGCCATGCCTCATATATTGGATTCTGAACACCAGGATGTGTGGAGGCCTGCAGCCCTCACCATCACGTCACTTTCTTCTTTTAATGAAAACTGAAACCCAGCTCCAGCCAGAGGGCAGTGGGGGTGAACAAATGTGTAGGCAAAGAAAATAGGAATGTTTAGGAAGGCTAGATCGTCCGCCCCTGGTCTGATCTAAAATGAGGCTCTCCCTCCCCCTGGCACATGGAATGCAGGAGGGACAGGAGGGGATGGGGAGGGCTCATGAGGAGGAATTAAGTGTGGCTCTGTCTGTTTCTGGCTTCTCTGTAAATACTGTGACACCTCCGAATGGAGGAACAGCTGAGATAAGTGACTGCTAATCCCTCAGTGCCGGGGAGGAGGCTGGGCCGCTCCCTTCCAGATCCCAGCAGATGGTGGATGAAACAGACTTCCCCCGAGGCAAGGGCAGTGGGAACTGTCCCACCTTCTGTTCCTTCAGTTTGCCCTGCACGTCTCCCTCATGGCCTGTCTGCACCGAGAAGGGCTTCGCTGGCCCTCAAGAGCCCTGGGGACCCGCTCCAGCTCTGCCATCCCACTGGGATCTACAAGGTCAGCCAACCTGGACTCCAGCCAGCACTGGCAGCTTGGGCAGCATCCAGCAAAGCTCTGTGGGCTTCAGGAAGAACAGCCAAGCAGTGTGGCTAAGTTTTTCATTCTGCAGAGAAACATACCTAGGGGAGAAGGATGAGGGCTCATTTGAAATGCAGATTCAATCTTCCAGGGTAGAACCCAGGAATCTGAATTTCTATTAGACAGTCTAGGTAATTTGGCTGGAGGCGGTTCTAGCATCACATTCTGAGAACCAGTAGACCAAGCGGACGTGAAGGCATTTTTGGTGGTTGGGAACAGGGCTTAAAGTCAGATGCCTGAGTCTGAATTGTCGCTCTACCATTGCTCACCTGTGTGACCTTGGACAAAAATGCTCAGTGGTTCTGTACCTCATAGGCTGTAAACCAGTCTTTCTCAAACTGCAGGAGGCACAATTTAGTCACAATTACATTAAAAGAATAACATTGGAAGACTGAGCAACAATGTGAATGCACTGAACACTTTTGAACCGTGTATTTCTAAAGGGTTAAGATAGTAAATTTGATAGCATGCATATTTTACCGTAATAAAAAAATCTTTAATATATCAATGAGGAGATGCCATTTTTTTCTTTCTTCTGTAATTTTTTTTGTTTCAAGATGTCATTTTTATATGCCAAAAAGCCAATCTCAATTTTCATATTAAGTAGATCCCTAAAAAGTTGTTTAAATGAAACTCAGTCATGTAAACCAACAGGAAAGTAAGATTTCATTTTAAAATATATAAAATCAGGTTCAAAGTTTTTAAAATGTGGACATCAAGGCCAGGCTTGGTGGCTCATGTCTGTAATCCCAGCACATTGGGAAGCTGAGGCTAGCAGACCACTTGAGCCCAGGAGTTTCAGACCGGCCCAGGCAACATAGTGAAACCCCGTCTCTACAAAAAGTACAAAAATTAGTTGGGTGTGGTGGCGTGTGCCTGTAGTCCCAACAGCTAGGGAGGATGAGGTGGGAGGATCACCCTAGCCTGGAAGGTCCAGGCTGCAGTGAGCCCTGATTATACCATTGCACTCTAACCTGAGTAACAGAGGGAGAAACAAATAAATAAAAATGAAATATAAAATGTGGAGATCAAGCAGTAATACAATAGTAAATATCAAACAATCATAAATCTTTAAGAGATAAGCTTTCTTCCTATACACATAACACATGAAAATACACTGTTATGAGTGTAAATACACATATGAAAATACACTGTTTTGAGCAATTAAATTGAGTAGAATAGGAAACATATTTTAAAAACACTTTTAGGGTGAATATTGTTTCACAGAATTGGTGTGAGTCTTCCACTCTACTACCCCCCCCCACCCCCGACTAGAACCAATGGTCCTGCAATGAGTGGGCTGGAAGTGGCCTCCTAGGCCCTGGAAGCCTGTGCGAAGGACTGAGGTCAGTGATCATGGCTTTCCGTTCCTGCACCTACAGCAGTGAAAGTGGGAATCTCATCAGCCACTCCCATATAGAAACTCTCTCTCACACAAATGTCCATGAGCCTCAGTTCTGTTCTACTTTTAAAAACGAACAACTTAGGGAAGCTTTCTCGGAAACTCTTGGAGACTGCCCTTCCCTTTTTGTGACTGTCCTGCTGCTACCTCTTTTTCCTTTCCAGCCTGTACCATAGCTGTCTGACTTTCTGTATTTGCCACAGAGGATGAGTCCTGTTCTGTTTTATTTATCACGGAATCCTTAACTGGCACAGTTCTTGTCCTGCAAAGATTTGCTGAATCAGTGAAGAATGAAATCAACCTGATTCTTCAAAAGGCAGAGCTATCACTGTCTCCAAAAGTATCATTATTACACATACAATTCACTTTGTAGCTTCCACATTACCTACAGCATTTGTCTCTAATTATTACAATACACAGTAACTTATGCCAGAAGTGTTATGGTATCGCTTTTGAGAGGGAAAACTTGGGGCCTGGGAAGGTTAAGTATCTTGCTCAAGACCAAACAGATAGTAAGTGACAGAGGTAGCATCTGAGCTCAGGTCTGTCTGGCTCTGACACCAGTGCTATTTCTCCTTTTCCTTGTTTTTTCTATACTTTCATGAGACAAGGCAGTTCCACTCTTGGCATCCTGTCAGTAGACATTTTCACTGTAAAATGCTTGCTGTGCTGCACGCAGGCATTTCAGTCAGGCCTCTCCCCCGGCCCCACCACGCTTCTTCTGCAGACCAACCCAAACATGGTTGGGGAGTTCAGAGGGGAGGGCCCAGCATTCCCGAGTGGGGACAAGTATCTAATCAGCAGACCTCCTCAGCATATCAATCCAAGACCACTCTAGAGAGAGATGCCAGTGCCCAGCTTTCTATTTTTAACTGGTGTGAACTGGAGGAAAAACACGAGCATTAAAAATCAAAGCGCCAGTAAAGAACTGAGAATGCAGGGCACCCCAGGGCAAACTAGTGGTCTGTGTCCTTCTGTCTCCCTCTTCCTTCCCCCCTCCTCTTTTCATGTCATTTTTCTTTTTCCTTCTCAGAAGTTCAAGATCTTGCAAAAAATCTGTTTTCCACAAAAGAGATGATATCTGTCATTTACATCAATGCTTCTCACACTTTAATGTACATACCAAGCAAACGCTGAAAAGCAGATTGGGATAGCGCTTGAGACTTTGCATTTCTAGTTCATTCCCAGGTTATAACAATACTGCTTGTCCACAGACTGCACTTTGAGTAGCAAGGATTGGTATATCCTTATAGTTTAAGTTGCTGCTATGTTCTTCATCCAAGTATTTGCCTTTTCAGTCCTGTCGCCACCTGGAATGAAATTGTCTGCCCCCAGTTTAAAGATGCTCATCTCCCCACCATCAGGTGGGCAAGCTACATTCTGCTTTTGTTCCTTTATTCACTTTAGCAGCAGGGGGTCCTTTTCTGGCTTGAAGACCAGAGTCTGAGTTTGAGCAAAACCCCCGCAGCATGGATGAGGACTACCCAATAATTAGGCTGGAGTAAACCTGGTCCTTTCTCCAGCAAGACTTGGCCAAGCTCTCACAGCAAACCTTTTCTGTCTCTTCCCCGGCCAGACCTGATCCATGCGTGATTTGGAATTCGGTGGCCTTGGTTAATCTGTTTTCTGACCTAGATGAGCCCAGCCCCACCTCTCTGAGTAAAGCTATCCAGGCTGGTGGGGACTAGACCAGAAGGGTGCCCTGTCCCGGTTGCCCCTTTTCCAGCCACTCAGATGTGCTGTTGTGGTGTCCTTTGTGCTCGTGGCAGCCCTGGAAGACGAGAAGCCGCTGTCGCTCCCCTGCTGCCCTAGCCCAGCTGTCAGGACCCCTCAGCAGAGGGCAGGGCGCCAAGCACCCCCCACTTGCATGTGGTTTATTGTCCCCCAGGTTGGCGGGGCTATGAGGACTGAATCCATAGCCCATCCACGGAGCACACCACCCCCAGAAACGGGGAGGGGTGGGCTGGCGTCACTTAGTCTTCCCCTGCCCCCTACCCTTCACCTCCTGCCCCTCCCCAGCTCCCTATTTGGCCATCCCCCTGGCTGCCCCCTCCCCTTCCTTACATGGTCTGGGGGCCCCACTGGCTGATCCTCTCCCCTGCCCTTGGCTCCAAGAATGGCCTCGGTAGTCCTAGCGGGTACGAAGGCGACCAAATAAGGCAAGGTGGCAGACCGGGCCCCCCACCCCTGCCCCCGGCTGCTCCAACTGACCCTGTCCATCAGCGTGCTATAAAGCGGCCCTCTTGGAGCCCGCCACCCAGCGCCCGCCGCCCTAGCCAAGCCGAGCCCACCCGCCCCGCGGACGGTGAGTCAGAGCCCGGCCCTGCGCGCTCCCTCCCCTCTCGGTCCGCAGGCCTTGCCAGACATCACCCCAACCCGGCTCCTGCCACTCTGCAACTGCTGTTTTTTCCCCCTACGCTTTTTGATTTGGTTCTAACTTGTTTCTCCTGGGCGTCGGTCCTCGGTCCTCGCAGGACCTAGCAGGGGCTCTAAGAAGGGGAATTCGGTGGCTCCCCAAGGGGCGTTTGTGTCCCTACTCTCGTGCGCTTTCCCCTCCATCTGGGGCAAAGGCAGGGCGGTATGGACAGGGCTGGAGATCGAGTTCCCAGTTTGTGAAAAGGATGAAAGAGCTGGGGAGGACTAAGGAGCTGGGTTTCCTGGGTCCTCCTTGTACCTGGTGCCCTAGGTGAGACTCCTGGCCAGAGAGCCTGGGTGGATTCCCCCCTCCCGTCTCCTCCGCGGCTTCTCTCCCTTTTGTGACTTGAAGGGAAGGGAGGTGGCAGGAATCTCCCCTGCCCACGCCCCTATCCAGTCCCCACATCTCCGCTCTGATCTGTCCGCTTCTCTGGGTCCGGAGAAGGCCAGCTGCACAACGTGGCCCACCCTCCCCTCCTCAACCTGCAGAACCCCCTGAAGCTGTGCCAAGATGTGTGACGACGAGGAGACCACCGCCCTGGTGTGCGACAATGGCTCTGGGCTGGTGAAGGCCGGCTTTGCGGGCGATGACGCTCCCCGCGCGGTCTTCCCATCCATCGTGGGCCGCCCGCGGCACCAGGTAAACTTCCTGCCAAGCCCCTGGTCCTACTCGACACCCCTTCCTGCCACCTCCTCTGTCCAACCATCTAGAAAATGGCTCTCACTTGACCCACTTGTGGTGTGAACTCTTTAGGTCAAATTAAGAAAAGGCTGATTCACTTCAAATCCAAGCCAAGGCAAGCAATACCCCAGCAAACCTCAACATACTGAGAAAGGCACACCTGAGTGGCAGGCCTCTCAAAGGGTCCCACTCACTGGTGTGAACGCCACCAGCTTTTTTCCATTTGCGGCCTTTTGGACTTTTAGTCCTTAGGGTCTTCTCTGCCTTATACACTTCACTTTCTTCCTTGTCTTCCCTTTTCAGTCCTGTGTAAATTTCTAACAATATAACCTCTCCCAACCAATCACATTCCTCTCTCGTGTTCACAGCCAGTTTACAGGGCTCCCCAAAGGTGAAATCTATCTCCTTCCTGGCTGTGGCATTTTTAGAAGCCAGGCGTGACAGAGGCAGCAAGTGCCATGGTGATAGTGACATGCCACCTCGTTTATTAAAAGAAATGCCATGCTCTCTGGATTTGTCACATGCCTGGCCAGGCAGGCTGCCAAGGACGAGACCTTAGTCCTTGGAGCTGGTGAATGACTCCAGGACAGCTCTGGACAGGCTCAGTTTCACTGTTGGAGTGAAGATGGCATATCAGCCCATCATTATGTGTTCACTTGAATGTCAAAATCTTTTCTTAGGAGAAATACAATGTGTCATTAATTCATTCCAAAATGCAGTCATCTATATTCCAGTTGACATGGGTGATGAGCTTAATAATTTAATGAAGGCATATGATATTTTTAAGGTGAGGTGATGCTCTGCTTCTTCAGTGAAATAGCTTCATTCTCTCCTGAGTTATATTCTCAACAATAGAATTATACATCTTTGAGGGAGTGGTGGGAAGGTCGAAGACTGATTTTTAAATAATTCTTCTAAATTGGGATAAAATTCTATTGCTTATTATTTCTGGTATTTAAATATGTTCCTTGAATTGGGCAGTTAGATATAAATGGACAAGACACTGATTATATTCCTGACATGGTGGGAGCATGATTTTCTCATTTTTTTTCTTCTCATAGGGAGTTATGGTTGGTATGGGTCAGAAGGACTCCTATGTAGGTGATGAAGCCCAGAGCAAGCGAGGCATCCTGACCCTGAAGTACCCCATCGAGCACGGTATCATCACCAACTGGGATGATATGGAGAAGATCTGGCACCACACCTTCTACAACGAGCTCCGTGTGGCTCCTGAGGAGCACCCCACCCTGCTCACAGAGGCCCCACTGAACCCCAAGGCCAACCGGGAAAAGATGACCCAGATCATGTTTGAGACCTTCAATGTCCCTGCCATGTACGTGGCCATCCAGGCAGTGCTATCCCTGTATGCTTCTGGCCGTACCACAGGTACGCTTGGGCTCTGGGGACAGTTACTGATTAATCATATTCCTAAGTCACCGACCTTGCTGTGAAATCAGATCCCCCAGATTGAAAAAAGGATAATCCCTTTTCTCTCTTTCCTCCCGTTCCCTAGCAAGGTCTCCGTGCTAAAAGTGAGGTGACAATAGTGCCCTGAGGTTAGTTTCAGAGCACACTTATTGTTGGAGATGATAAACTGTGGAGTTAGGTCCTTCCCTTATTTAAAGCTCAGAACAATGTAGCAACTTGGAGTGCAGCAGTCACTGGGATGTGAATAAACCATCATATCACTTGGGTAAGCATCCTCAGGGAGAATACATTCCCTACAGGGTCTGAGTCAAAAGAGGGGAACGTGTAAGTCCAGTAAAAGCAGAGAAAAACACACTTGGGTGTTTATATAATGTGCTCAGGGGTGATAAGAAGGATGGTCATATGAAAGTGTCCTCGGGAATTTTTTTATCTACTATAATAGTTGAAAGGATGAGCTGCAGTTTGCTTTAGATTTAGTGTGCACCATGCTCATTTTTATTCTTTGTGTGTAAGGGATCTAATTTTATCTGGATCAATGCCCATTGCTAGCATCTCTCAACCCAGATTGGAAGCAGGCTTTGCCATGGCTAAAGCAGTGGTGTTGTCCTCAGGACTTTACCTTGTTCTTGTCTGCTTCCCCTGACAGGCATTGTTCTGGACTCTGGGGATGGTGTAACTCACAATGTCCCCATCTATGAAGGCTACGCTTTGCCCCATGCCATCATGCGTCTGGATCTGGCTGGTCGGGACCTCACTGACTACCTCATGAAGATCCTCACTGAGCGTGGCTACTCCTTTGTCACCACTGGTGGGTGTGGGTGTGTCTCATCTGCCACAGTGTGGGTCTACTTCCTTCCTCCCTCACTGAATCTACCTACCTCCCTATAATGGACTTCTTGCTTCAGAGCTTGACTGTGATACCCTTTATTTCTGCAGCGGAACGTGAAATTGTCCGTGACATTAAAGAGAAGCTGTGCTATGTTGCCCTGGATTTTGAGAATGAGATGGCCACAGCTGCCTCTTCCTCCTCTCTGGAGAAGAGCTATGAACTGCCTGATGGCCAAGTCATCACTATTGGCAACGAGCGCTTCCGCTGTCCTGAGACGCTCTTCCAGCCCTCCTTCATTGGTGAGCTGTAGGGTCTGGTGCAGAGGCACGATTTTCCCTGGAAATCTTAGGCTTCCCAGAGTAAAATCTAGAAGGCTCAAGAAGCCCTTGAGTTAAAAGAAGTCGTAGTTTGGACTCCCACACAGCTCAACCTCAAGTCCTGATGGCTCATTAGAGGGAAAGTCTATGTTCTGCTCTAGTGATATAATAAAGGATGACACACTGAGTTCATCTCAAAATAAAGGATGGCACACAGTAGCAGCTGAGTATCACCTATCTGCAGAAAAAGAGCTATTTCATGGGTGCTGACTTCTTCCAGTAAGTTTCGTTACCAAGTAGCTGGCTTTTCCAAGTTACTCATCATTGAATGCAATAACATTCCTACTCATACTAATAACTGGACACTTACATGTCAACATGTATCCTTCCTAAGCAATGCTTTCCACGAGGAACTTTGTCAGCATCTGATTTTAGTCCATAAACAAAAACTGCATTTATTTTAGTTTAAACGTGTATCTTGTCCTTTTCCAATACATCTTCGTACATCTGATAGTTACAGGAGGTGTTTACTCGAAACAGGTGCTAAGCACAGTTGCTCCTTTCTTGGCATTCTATTGTGGATTAACTGTCAGGCACCCGTTCCACCCTGCAGTGTGTCTTATAGGGGAGCATATGTTTCAGAGACAAATGGTGACAGCTCACTCACCCTAAGAAATCCTGTTCTTTCCCCTCTACCTTGACCTGAATGCACTGTGATTTTTTTTTTTTTTTTTGCGTGTGTGTGTGTGCGCGCGTGACTTGTTCCTAGGTATGGAATCTGCTGGCATCCATGAAACAACTTACAATAGCATTATGAAGTGTGACATTGATATCCGCAAGGATCTGTATGCCAACAATGTCTTATCTGGAGGCACCACTATGTACCCTGGCATTGCGGATCGTATGCAGAAGGAAATCACTGCCCTGGCTCCTAGCACCATGAAGATTAAGGTAAATAACTTTCATGAATGGGAAATCCAAGGCAGAAGTTGGTATTCTAAGCAGAGCTACATTCCTAATTCCTTTTCCCTTCATACTCAGTTTCCTGTCTCCTACCAACTTTACCTGTTAGCTTTTCTAGCACTTTGTCTGATTTTCTTAGCACTTTTCCCAAGATAGGTAACTTTTAAAACACTTTTAGGCAGTGAATAAAAATAAATTTTTACAAAAAAAAAAAAAAAAAAAAAAAAAAAAAAAATAAAAAATAAAAAAAAAAAAAAAAAAAGACACACACGCAACAAAATCTTCTAATACATTTTAAAAGCCCCCAACTTTTGGGCTGGCCTTCACTATACATTTAGCTTGTTGCTAAATTATACTCTAGATAAGTGGAGAAATTCCATTTAATATTAAAATATATCTTTAATAACAGAAATGATAAAATAGAGGTGAGTTCATATAACTTGATTGGGTACATTATTTTGTGGTATGACATATCCCACATTATAGCTAATTAATATCTAATATTTTTTCCTGTGAATCCTCCCAACGTGTTATTTCTCCCTTGCTTGGAACTTCAGAGTTCACAGGAAGTTTTCGTTTGCTTTCTGCAGATTATTGCTCCCCCTGAGCGTAAATACTCTGTCTGGATTGGGGGCTCCATCCTGGCCTCTCTGTCCACCTTCCAGCAGATGTGGATTAGCAAGCAAGAGTATGATGAGGCAGGCCCATCCATTGTCCACCGCAAATGCTTCTAAGGTGCTTTCTTTCTTCATCTACCTTCCAGTCAGGATGATGGTATTATGCTTCTTGAAGTCTTCCAAACCACCTTCCCTCATCTCTCATCAATCATTGTACAGTTTGTTTACACACGTGCAATTTGTTTGTGCTTCTAATATTTATTGCTTTATAAATAAACCAGACCAGGATTTGCAACCTATAAAAGCCTCTCATCTGTTTTTGGGGTAGGCATGGGGTGGAGCAGGTGTTAGCTTTGACATCCTGAGCGTTGTCAGAGTTCAGAACCACAAAGTTCATCCAGATGAATTAATGTGACAAATGCTAACTTTTGATTTTGTATTTTGGGACAGAATCATGAATATATTTCATATCTGAAAAGTGGATTAAGGCTTAGTTCCATATAAGTAAGAAGTAGAATTGGATAAGACAATTCTCTAGAATTAGTTGCTGCAGATGACACTGAAACTTGTTGTTTTAACATATGTTCCAGTTGCTTTTGTAAACTTGCAGAAAATATACCTATGTTGGTAATGAGAAAGTCAAAGACAATTTTAAATAAATGGGCTTAACTTCTTAATTCCTTGAACTCTCAGTTGTCTTTCTGAGGGCTATGAACGAAACATGAACGTTGGCTGACAGTTGGACCAGCCATGCCCCAATGCAAATACCCTCTCCTCTAAACATATCAAGACCATTGTGTGTGTGCAAAACAAATGTGAGGAAGCAGAAGCCAAACGCTCTGCCTGATCAGTGACTAACTTGTGAGACAGAAGCCTTCAATCTCTTCATTTCTTTGAAATCTTGAGATCTTGGGTTGAGTGAACCTAAGAGGTCCTGAGGGAACAAGGGGAGGCCAAAACCACAGTATTTGCTTTGCTCCACGCAGAACTCATGCAAAGTATGGTGGGAAGGCTGCTAGGGGCAGCACCAAAAAGAATTGAATGTGTTCCATCCTTAAGGAGTTCATACACCTACACATAATCCTTCAGTGCATGTGCATCTGGAGGCTTTAAGGAGATGTATGTGGGTCTGGGTCTTGAAGAATGGTTGGGAATTAGGGAGATGAAGATAGCAGAGAAAACATCTCAGCAGAAGGAAGTGTGGATACAAAACATGGGGCAGGCTGGGAGGTGCTGATGAATTTTAGAAAATCCAATGGGAAAGGTAGATTTCAGCAAGATTGCAGAAGCCTTACAGATTTTTATATTCAAATTAATTGCCAGTGAACTGTTAGTATTCACACAAGTGTTTGAATGCACTTAATTGAACTTTATTGATAAGGATTCAAGACACAGAGATTAAGCAACTGGTGCAATGCTATAAACCTTATTTGTGGAATATGCAAGATGGGAACCCAGATTTTCTGACATCTGCTCTGATGGTACCTCTAAAATAGACTATAAATAAAGTTAGAAAGATTATCAAGGATAACCCCATTCTATCACATGCCTTTTGAGAATTTGGGTTCAATATTTGGAATACTCTGGACACATCAGACAACTTTAATAAGTTGTAATCAATTGTCTCTGTCATTCAAGGTCATGCGTGTGTCTTTCTGCCCATTCATACCAAAAATATCTTTAGATCCCTGACTCTGGGTCAGGCATAGTATTAAGGGCAGGGGACAGAAAGATGGATGAGGGTACATTTTCTGTGATTAAAAAGCTCAGAGTTTATTAGAGTTCTGTATCTAGCATATTCAAATGGAAGGCCTTCTTTGCAATAAAGGCTAAATAATACATCAATTTGGTGGCATTTTCTTCAGATAAGGAGGTATAAAAATTATTGTAGATCCTCCCCTCCCCTTGCCACCCCATTGTATCCTATAGTACAGATGAATTGGTTTCAAAGTCATGCACTGGAAGGTATTATTTCACTAGTTTTTGCGTCTCTTTCTTCTCATCTGTACAATTGAGTGCATAAATATTATGAATTTTATCCTGGGAGCACAGTATTAATTCTTTAATTGTAGATGATTGGCTGGGGTATCACCTTGGGTTCTTTCCATTTGTGATTAGAAATGGAGTGGATATTTTTATTTCTATGTAAAAGTAGAAGCTTTAAGAATCAGCTTCTGATATTTGTATCAGAAGAGGTAAGCACGCAGATTCTTGCTGAATTCTGAGGTCTTCTCATCTCTGTTTGATGATAGGGTATAAAATATTAGAACAACTGAATCTTACAAATTGTGCTTAAGGAAGGTATTGGGGCAAAACCGCTTAAGGCAATCTTTATATGTATAAAATAATCGAGATGTTGATAGTGCCTATGTCTTCGGTTAAAGTGCAATATACAAAGAACTATATAGAGTATATTTCTTAATTTATAATAAAGTATTGTTTGTAGATTCGAATACCCCCAAACACTATTTCTTCCTTTATTTTGACTAAACAATGGCCATTATGTAGATGTGCTTAAATATTTAAGGGAGTACAGTGGAGAGAAAAGAAAAATTACTGAAGAAAATGAAATCTTTAGAGGGGTAGGGCTGACTCACTGTATCCGGAGCCTAGAACAATGTGACTGGGTCTTCACCTTTTTTTCCAGTTCTCCCATATAATTTATTACAGTCTGAATTGTGTTCCATCAAAACTCACATGAAGCCCTAACTCCCAATGTGACTGTATTTGCAGACAAGACCTTTCAGTAAGTAATTAAGGTTAAATAAAGTCGTAAGGGCGGGGCCCTTATCCAACAGGACTAGTGTTCTTATAAGAGGGAGAAGAGACAGCAGGAGTGCAAGCGCAGAGGAAGAGCCATGTGAGGGCAGGGCCAGGAGGTGACCCATTTGTAAGCTGAGGAAAGAAGACTGCTGACACCTTGATCTTAGACATCCAGCCTCCAGAGCTGTGAGAAGTAAATGTCTGTTGTTTAAGCCACTGATGTGGTTTGGCTGTGTCCTCACCCAAATCTCATCTTGAATTGTAGTTCGTATAATCCCCACATGTCATGGAGGGACCCAGTGGGAGGTAATTGGATCATGGAGGCAGTCACCCTCATGCTGTTCTCATGATAAGTGAGTGAGTTCTCATGAGATCTGATGATTTCTTTAAGGAGATTTCTCCACTTTTGCTCTGCACTTCTCCTTCCTGCCACTGTGTGGAGAAAGATGTGTTTGCTTCCACTTCCACCATGATTGCAAGTTTCCTGAGGCCTCCCCAGCCATGCTGAACTGTGAATCAATTAAACCTCTTTCCTTTATAAATTGCCCAGTCTCAGGTATGTCTTCATTAGCAGCATGAAAACAGACTAATACAGCCACCCAGTCTATGGTATTGTTATGGCAGCCTTGGCAGCCTAATATAGGATTTCTCCACATGTTGGACATGATGGTCCCAGGCTCCTGACCTAACAACTTAGCAGCCTCTGAGACGAAAGGATGCCTTCCCATATAGTACTGGCAGAAGTCCCAGGAAAGTGTCTGAGCCTGGTCAGGCTTAGGAACCGAGTCATACCATTCTTATCATAGAGACTGACCAATACTCTTTAGCAGGGAGGGATGATACCTCTTCCTCTAAAGGAAGAGGACAAAATGGTGCAAACATTACACCCAATGAGCTAGAGGAGGAGGCTTGTAGGGGAGGGACCGAATATTGGATGGCTCCAAACTTCCAGCTTAGGAGTTTTTGATTTGACAGGTCCTGAGGAGGACTTGAGAAGAGCAATGACTTCATGCAGACAAAACTAGGAGGCAAGACTGAGAACCTTTGGATAATATATTCCAGGGTGGCCTAAGGACCCAGGAACCCAGTGATCTCTATATGATCTGACTATCTTGCTTTTTAAAAGGAAATAAAGTCATATTCATTTTATGGTTAACATGATATAAATGCTATAAATATATCCCAGTAACTAACAGGGAAAGAAAAAAGGTTAGGTCTTTTAGGCCTAAAACAGCAAAAGTTGTCTATGTTCACCTTAAGATCTTCCAGGCTCATTATATAAGAAATATCTCCTCCAGGCAGAGCTTCTCTGGCAGTTGCTATGGTAACCAAACTCATGGTAGGAAGACATCCAAAACTAAGCTCCTAGGGAGGTTGCAAAAGTACACCTCTGGTCACTGATGAACTTGATGGCAGAAGATGTTCTTTGAAGTTCATTCATTCGCCCTGGGTGCAATAGATGCAAGAAAGATTGGCTAGGAGGATAAAGAGCTTCAGTTCAACTATATTTCTCTGAGTTCCTGTGGTCCTGTGGTTCTGGGCCCCCTTCCCTCCCTGGTTGAGGCTAGAGGTGAACCTGCATCAGCTGAGAGTTACGTAGGAATGGCCTGCGTGTCCTGCAGCGTCATTGTCTGCTTATTTCCTGCATTGTTTCATTGTAACTTCTGTGGAAGTCAGGACTATCGAGGGGAGATGGAAAGAAAATGGCCCCAAAGGAAAGCTGAGTAAAGTGGAAATAAAAAGGGCTTAAATAGTAGATGAGACATAAACTCTAGAGTCAACTGTAAGCAAGGAATTGGGTCAACAGGGTAAGTGTTAACACAGGAAGATGACTTGGGGAACTTTGGAAATACTATAAGTGGCCTGGAGGCATCATGAAGGTGAGGGTCTGATAAAGCAGACATCACGTAAGAAATTCGAGAGTAAACTTGCCTTAGGCAAAATAGTGAAATTTTCCCAAGGCCTCTTGAACTCTAGGATGTACACTTTGGACCTTTTTTCCAGTGTCTTCCACCAAATGCCGGCCATCTGGGACATTCTCCCTACCACTCCAGTCATATAAACGGAAACTTCCCTGTTGTATTAGTCCATTCTCATATTGCTGTAAAGAAATACCTGAGACTGGGTAGTTTATAAAGAAAAGATGCTTGATTGGCTCATGGTTCTGCAGGCCGAACAAGAAGCATAGTAGCTTCTGCTTCTAAGGAGGCTTCAGGAAGCTCCCAGTCATGGCAGAAGGCAAAGAGGGAGTGAGGCATCTCACATGGTGGGAGCAGGAGTAAGGGGCAGGGAGGAGCCACACACTTTTAAACGGCCAGATCTCATGAGAACTCACTCACTAATATGAGGACAGCACCAAGGGGATTGTGTGAAACTATTTATGAGAAATCCACCTCCATGATTGAATCACCTCTCACCAGGCCCTCCAACATTAGGGGTTACAATTCAACATAAGATTTGGTGGGGACACAGATTCCAACCATGCCATCTGTCTTTTACCTGCATCCTTCAAAGAGCATACTGTGCCAATTAAGCA